CTCTTCAAATATTAGAATTTACTCTTCGAAACATAGAATTTACTCTTCAAAACTTAGAAATTTCTCTTCAAAATATCGAATTTACTCTTCAAATCTTGGAATTTACTCTTCAAACTTAGACTTTTCTCTTCAAAACTTAGAATTTACTCTTCAAAATATCGAATTTACTCTTCAAAACTTGGAATTTACTCTTCAAACTTAGAATTTTCTCTTCAAATATTAGCATTTACTCTTCGAAACATAGAATTTACTCTTCAAAATATCGAATTTACTCTTCAAATCTTGGAATTTACTCTTCAAACTTAGAATTTTCTCTTCAAAACTTAGGATTTACTCTTCAAAATATCGAATTTACTCTTCAAATCTTGGAATTTACTCTTCAAACTTAGAATTTTCTCTTCAAAACTTAGAACTTACTCTTCAAAATATCGAATTTACTCTTCAAAACTTGGAATTTACTCTTCAAACTTAGAATTTTCTTTTCAAATATTAGGATTTACTCTTCGAAACATATAATTTACTCTTCAAAACTTAGAATTTACTCTTCAAAATATCGAATTTACTCTTCAAATCCTGGAATTTACTCTTCAAACTTAAAATTTTCTCTTCAAAACTTAGAATTTACTCTTCAAAATATCGAATTTACTCTGCAAAACTTGGAATTTACTCTTCAAATTTAGAATATTCTTTTTTTTTTTCTTTTTTTTTTTCTTTTTCCTTTTTTTTTTTTTTTTTTTTTTTTTTTTTTTTTTTTTTTTTTTTTTTTTTAACAGCTTTATTGGACATACATATAAAAGGTTACATATTATTATACAAACAAAGACTACAGGGTATACGTCCAATTGGGCTAGCGCAAACGGGACAACGAGACCCATGCAGGGCGCCACCCCTAAACTAAACTAGTGAAAACAAACTTATTTACAAATCTTGGAATTTACTCTTCAAACTTAGAATTTTCTCTTCAAATATTAGAATTTACTCTTCGAAACATAGAATTTACTCTTCAAAACTTAGAATTTGCTCTTCAAAATATCGAATTTACTATTCAAATCTTGGAATTTACTCTTCAAACTTAGAATTTTCTCTTCAAAACTTGGAATTTACTCTTCAAAATATCGAATTTACTCTTCAAATCTTGGAATTTACTCTTCAAACTTAAATTTTCTCTTCAAATATTAGAATTTACTCTTCGAAAAATAGAATTTACTCTTCAAAATTTAGAATTTACTCTTCAAAATATCGAATTTTATCTTCAAATCTTGGAATTTACTCTTCAAACTTAGAATTTTCTCTTCAAATATTAGAATTTACTCTTCGAAACATAGAATTTACTCTTCAAAACTTAGAATTTACTCTTCAAAACATCGAATTTACTCTTCAAATCTTGGAATTCACTCTTCAAACTTAGAATTTTCTCTTCAAAACTTAGAATTTACTCTTCAAAATATCGAATTTACTCTTCAAAACTTGGAATTTACTCTTCAAATTTAGAATATTCTCTTCAAATATTAGAATTTACTATTCGAAACATAGAATATACTCTTCAAAACATAGAATTTACTCTTCAAAATATCGAATTTACTTTTCAAAACTTAGAATTTACTCTTCAAAATATCGAATTTACTCTTCAAATCTTGGAATTTACTCTTCAAACTTAGAATTTTCTCTTCAAAACTTAGAATTTACTCCTCAAAATATCGAATTTACTCTTCAAAACTTGGAATTTACTCTTCAAACTTAGAATTTTCTCTTCAAATATTGGCATTTACTCTTCGAAACATAGAATTTACTCTTCAAAACTTAGAATTTACACTTCAAAATATCGAATTTACTCTTCAAAACTTAGAATTTACTTTTCAAAATATCGAATTTACTCTTCAAATCTTTGAATTTACTCTTCAAACTTAGAATTTTCTCTCCAAATATTAGAATTTACTCTTCAAAATATCTAATTTGCTCTTCAAAACTTGGAATTTACTCTTCAAACTTAGAATTTTCTTTTCAAATATTAGAATTTACTCTTCGAAACATAGAATTTACTCTTCAAAACTTAGAATTTACTCTTCAAAATATCGAATTTACTCTTCAAATCTTGGAATTTACTCTTCAAGCTTAGAATTTTCTCTTCAAATCTTAGAATTTACTCTTCGAAACATAGAATTTACTCTTCAAAACTTAGAATTTACTCTTCAAAATATCGAATTTACTCTTCAAATCTTGGAATTTACTCTTCAAACTTACAAATTTCTCTTCAAATATTAGAATTTACTCTTCGAAACATAGAATTTACTCTTCAAAACTTAGAATTTACTCTTCAAAATATCGAATTTACTCTTCATATCTTGGAATTTACTCTTCAAACTTAGAATTTTCTCTTCAAAACTTAGAATTTACTCTTCAAAATATCGAATTTACTCTTCAAAACTTGGAATTTACTCTTCAAACTTAGAATTTTCTCTTCAAATATTAGAATTTACTCTTCGAAACATATAATTTACTCTTCAAAACTTAGAATTTACTCTTCAAAATATCGAATTTACTCTTTAAATCATGGAATTTACACTTCAAACTTAGAATTTTCTCTTCAAAACTTAGAATTTACTCTTCAAAATAGCGAATTTACTCTTCAAAACTTGGAATTTACTCTTCAAACTTAGAATTTTCTCTTCAAATATTAGAATTTACTCTTCGAAACATATTATTTACTCTTCAAAACTTAGAATTTACTCTTCAAAATATCGAATTTACTCTTCAAATCTTGGAATTTACTCTTCAAACTTAGAATTTTCTCTTCAAATATTAGAATTTACTCTTCGAAACATAGAATTTACTCTTCAAAACTTAGAATTTACTCTTCAAAATATCGAATTTACTCTTCAAAACTTGGAATTTACTCTTCAAACTTAAAATTTCTCTTCAAATATTAGAATTTACTCTTCGAAACATAGAATTTACTCTTCAAAACTTAGAATTTACTCTTCAAAATATCGAATTTACTCTTCAAATATTGGAATTTACTCTTCAAACTTAGAATTTTCTCTTCAAAACTTAGAATTTACTCTTCAAAATATCGAATTTACTCTTCAAAACTTGGAATTTACTCTTTCAAACTTAGAATTTTCTCTTCAAATATTAGAATTTACTCTTCGAAACATAGAATTTACTCTTCAAAACTTAGAATTTACTCTTCAAAATATCGAATTTACTCTTCAAATCTTGGGATTTACTCTTCAAACTTAGAATTTTCTCTTCAAAACTTAGAATTTACTCTTCAAAATATCGAATTTACTCTTCAAAACTGGAATTTACTCTTCAAATTTAGAATTTTCTTTTCAAATATTAGAATTTACTCTTCGAAACATAGAATTTACTCTTCAAAACTTGGAATTTACTCTTCAAACTTAGAATTTTCTCTTCAAATATTAGAATTTACTCTTCGAAACATATAATTTACTCTTCAAAACTTAGAATTTACTCTTCAAAATATCGAATTTACCCTTCAAAACTTGGAATTTCCTCTTCAAACTTAGAATTTTCTCTTCAAATATTAGAATTTACTCTTCGAAACATATTATTTACTCTTCAAAACTTAGAATTTACTCTTCAAAATATCGAATTTACTCTCAAATCTTGGAATTTACTCTTCAAACTTAGAATTTTCTCTTCCAAACTTAGAATTTACTCTTCAAGATATCGAATTTACTCTTCAAAACTTCGAATTTACTCTTGAAACTTAGAATTTTCTCTTCAAATATTAGAATTTACTCTTCGAAACATATAATTTACTCTTCAAAACTTAGAATTTACTCTTCAAGAAATCGAATTTACTCTTCAAATCTTGGAATTTACTCTTCAAACTTAGAATTTTCTCTTCAAATCTTGGAATTTACTCTTCAAACTTAGAATTTTCTCTTCAAAACTTAGAATTTACTCTTCAAAATATCGAATTTACTCTTCAAATCTTGGAATTTACTCTTCAAACTTAGAATTTTCTCTTCAAAACTTAGAATTTACTCTTCAAAATATCGAATTTAC